TCTCTCTCTCTCTCTCTCTCTCTCTCTCTCTCTCTCTCTCTCTCTCTCGCTCTCTCCCCCTCTCTCCCTCTCTCTCTCCCCCTTGCGCTCCTTCCGATTGTTCGGCCCTGCGCGCGCTTGCAAAAACATGGCCGTTATATCACACGGCCCCGCCCAGCCCCTGCTGGAGCCGCCCGAGCAGCCCGGGCTCCAGATCTGTAGGCTCCAGCCTTCCGGGAAGAGGAACGAGTCTGCTTGCTTTGTGTCGGGCCGGGCCCGGGGGCCGCCCTCCCGCCCAGGGCCAAGTTAATAAAGATTCTTGTAAACTCTCGGCCGCCCCCTCTCCTATAATGTCTTCCTCAGTTTAGCGGGCGGGAGCGGCGCGCGGCCATGGCAAGTTCGACTGTTGCGATATCGCAATCAAAAGAAAGCGCGACGGACTAGCGAGCCAACAGCCCGGTCGCCGCCGTGGGGGCTCCGGCCGCGGCCCCGGCCCAGCCGCTCCGGGCCACTAGGTCTGGCCTTGGAGGACGGACAAGTCCCCGCTGGAATAATCTTTTTGCTTCCGGCACGGAGCTCGCTGCGAGCTCGACTTAAAAATGCGACAATACTTTTCGCATAAGAAGTTGCAATTAGGGCTTGGTATACAGACACAAGTAGTAGCATGGAAAGAGCATATAGTTGAACCGAAACAACGTGCCAAACTCAGCGCGGCAACGACAACCCCGCGGCGTAACCTCGCGCTGCCGGCGCTGCGCTCCGGGGCTCAACGCGCAGCCACCCCTCAATGAGGGCGGAATGACGCTTTTGATATATGGACCCAGCGGCTGTCAGATGAGATAGACGAGCCAGCAGGCCGCATCAGGTAGCCCCATCAACCCCTCCCACCCCCACCCCCTTCGGTAGAGGACGCGCCGATCGCGCGCGAGGCAGGCAGATCCAGCGTACCGCTGTTGAGCCGGTAGCCCATCCTGCGGCGCTCCGGGTAGGCAACACCAGCACACCGCTGTGGAGCGGCTGGCCTATGCTGCGGCGCTCCGGGTAGGCAACACCAGCACACCGCTGTGGAGTCGGCTGGCCTATCCTGCGGCGCTCTGGGTAGGCAACACCGCCACACCGCCGTGGAGCGGCTGGCCTATTTGGTGCGGCGCTCCGGGTAGGCAACACCAACACACCGCTGTGCAGTGGCTGGCCTATGCTGCGTTGCTCTGGGCAGGTCTCTCTCGACCCTATTACCCCAACATAGTGGAGACACAGGAACACTAGTGTGCCGCGGCTTGGACACAAAGAAAATAGATGCCATAACATTGCACGGGGGTCAGTCAGTCCCCCTTCTCCCCCCTCCCCGCGCAGCTCCAGCCCGGACAACACGATCACTAGAGCGCCCCCAGCAGCACCCAGCCACCGTGTCGCAATATAACGAAATGAGATTTCAAGGGCGTTTGTAGGGGGACCTCGTTGGGGGGTGGCGTGGCCTAACACACCCTATCGATGGTGGCATGACTGACCACTCAGAGGGGCTGACCGGGAACACCCCACCCTCTGTGTCACCCCTCCAGCCTTCCCTCACCCAAACGCAGCCCACCCCTGGGCACAACACCTCTAGGTTGCAGGCGCGCGTTCAGACATAGCGGCGCTGGTTGCTGTGCGCGCGAGCACAGTTGATGTTGAGCACCCCTCCCCCCTCTTTTCCGCGCCCCCGCAGTTCAGTTGTACGCACACCCTGCCGCCCTTCTTTCAGACGCCGCCCCGTGCCCCAGGTGCTTCCGTTCTTGTTTCGCACTGGGCAATTAAAGAGGCGCACTTCACCGAACTTATTCCGGCCATACTACCACTTCGGGCCGTAGCGGCTGGCGCGGCTGCGCGGCGCGGGCGGCTCGGGGTTATGTTGACGCAAGCGGGCCGGCACAAAACTTCTTACGAGCGCTAGGCCAGCGCCGCAGCGAGAGGGAGAGAGAGACACACAAAGAGAGAGAAAGGGGTAGTGAAGTTGTATAATTCGCCAAAGAATACACTACAGCCAGTGTGGCGGTACTCTTACAACCGCACTCGTATCAAGATGCAAATCAGCAAACTTCAAAAAATTTATTCAGCCGAGTGTTCCAGATGAGGGTATGGGTGGACGGAAGAATGCGCAGACCAATCACTTTTTTACTTTTTTTTTTAGTTTTTGTACTTGGCTTAGCTACTCATTTCGTTTTTAATTTTGCTCTTTTTTTTTCATTAACTCTTTTGGTGGGTGGAAAGAGGTTTCCATCGCAGTCCTTGTCGTTTGGTTGTTTCCTTTCCTCTTAATATTGCCTGAGGCATGATCTTGGGGCCGTGCGCTCCTTTCGCCTTTTCATCTCGCGGAGGCAACGGGATGGTCGATGAGGGATTAATGCGAAAGCGGCCCGCCCGATCAGCTGCCGGCCGGGCGCCGCTGGGGGTGGTGTCTGTAATCCTTACAGTATCTGCCCCGGATACCATATCCTGTTATCTTAGGCCGCACCCTCGCCGTTGCGCTGCTGCGCGATCGAGAGGTCGATCGCGAGAGCTCGAGAGCCAATCGAATGTGGATCCCCCCAAGGCAATTCCGACGGCGGCAGCAGTCACTGGCTAATTGCACATGCGGGATAGCGCCAGTGCTGCCAACCGTCGGGGATCAACATCATTGTGGGTTGGCAGCACTGGACTGAGGGGAGGGCGGCGTGGGTGTAGCTAGGAGTCTCGCAGACGTTTCAGAGGTTTATACACACTATTACTTTAATTGAGTAAGTGAAATACTCACGGAGTATGTGCACTTGTTCATTAACAACGACAAAACTCTGTTCTGTTCTACAACTTTCGGGCTGAGTACTTTTTTTTCTTTTTGGCGTTTCCGGACTGTGAGCAGACCGCACCGGTAGGCCTGCCGGGGGGTTGGACAAGCAAGCCAGTCCAGAGACAACGACGCACCCGACTGGAAGATGATAGGGGCACAGGCAAATAGGGGGACGGTGTAAGGATGCAGCGCACTGTACCTGCTTGCGTTCGAAAACAGACCCAACCACTCCCTTGGTCCCTGGACTCTGCAAACCCAAGTGCGTACACTATGCACTTTTTCCTGACAAGCTTCCACGTATATGTACACATAGCATAGAGCCCTATCTCAAGAGATAATGCTAAAATGTGTCGGAAACCCAGATATAAAGAGTAGGATGGCTTTTATTACGCAGAGAAATGTGTATATAATAGTTGAGCAAAGCGTGGCCAGTATGCGTATATGCGTGTCCACGTGGGACTCAATGAGTTTAAGAGCTCGAGTGTGTAGCCGAATGCTCTTTGCTGTCGATGCTTTGGGGGAAAACTGAATGTTTTCGGGAGATACATTTGCAAACGAGTGGACAGGACGCGCTCCGCAGTGTTCAGGGCGCGAGGCTTACCCTGTCTTTGTGGGCCAGTTTATAGGAACCAACCCGTGGCCCTAGCGGACGTGGCACAGCGGCGCATCTGTGTAGCACCAGACCCACTGTCTGTTCATTTGTCCGTCTCTGCCTCCCTCTTTCTTTATCTCGTAGCACTCTATTGCCCCCCCCCCTCTCTCTCTCTCTCTCTCTCTCTCTTTTTCTCTCTTTCTCCTCTCTTCCTTCTTTTCCCGTGTAATCTGCCATCGTGCCTTCCCTTCTTCTGCTCCATTCTCCGCCTATTCCCCTTTACTTTCTTTTATATATCATTTTCTTATTATTCCTGGTCCATCCCTTCTCATTCCTGATCCCTTTCCTCACCCTCTCTTGCCACGCCCCTCCTCTCCTCCACTGCTGCTGCTGTACCGGAATTTAACTTCTCTCCTCCGCGCAAACATCAGCCTGGGCCGTGCCCGTGCCCCGCCCCGAACCACGACCGGTCCTCATTCTTTGTTTTGCTAATTAATAAATTAAAAATATTCAGTTTGAAAATTAATGCAATAATTGTGAAAAACAAGGCCCAGGCCCATCGCTTATACCAGGTGGTTGATTCACGCCGCGCACTCTCCAACTGTACTGCATTCGCGCGTGGGGGCGGACTTGCCTACGCTCGCTGCCCACGGCCCCCCATCCGCCGCACTCTACTATAGTGTAGATTGCACAAAATCTGTATTGTCCAAAATTGTTTTAAAATAAAATCATGACAATGTTTTCAAACGAACAAATTTCTATATGAAGGTGATGGATATTTCACTCACACTGATAAATAAACTGGCGTGCACGCACTCAACACTATGTTGCACACTTCCGAGTGCGTCCGAATGGGTATTTGACTGGGTGTTTGAATACTATGAAGTGTTTAATAGTAAAGTTGAACGTTTAAAAGTGTTCATCATCAGGGTTGGCAATGAAAATTTGTCCTCATTAAAGTATTCAAATATCCTGTCAAACACTTCTTTAAAGTGTGCACGGTAAAAAATAGATTCTTGTATTGGATGACCTGGTCTGCTTGGATGCCGAAGGCGTTTTCCATTAGATACAAGACCGGGTCTTGAAATACAAGATTTATATTTTAAACATGCATGTGCATGTGCATGTGCACGCCAGTTGGACATTTTATTTATCAGTGCACGCGCGGACACAGGTCGTTCAACTCTATCATGTGTGTGATGAGCGCACCAGCTCCATCACACGGCCGATCGAGACACGCTGCGCGCCGTGGCGACTCATTTTGTTGCTTTCACAATAATTGAGCAGCACTGCGGTCGCTTGCGTTGCAAATATTTGAAAAAGCTTAAACTGCACGCGCGCTCCCCCTTTTCACTTATTTTTCTCTCTTGTTTTCTCTTTTGCACAGTGGTTTATTTTTTGTACATCCCACCCTCGTCTGACAGACAGTGACCCCCTACTTTGTTTACCTTCCTTTACTTTTTCAGCGCGCGTCGCTGAGGGTCCCGCACGGCCCCGCCACGCTCGGTCGCTCGCTGTCCCCGTCGATCAACAGGGTCTCTCTCTTTGGTTGATCTGGAGTGCGTTGCATACTAAGTGGACATTAAGGTCAGCAGGGTCCGCAGCAGCAGCACCGGCAGCAAGACACAGGCCCCGATGAGAGGCTGAGACCGGAGAGGTCGGCCCGGGGTCGTCCACGCGAACGGGTCGCAACCTCCAGGAAGCGTACAGCAGCGCCCTTTAATCAGAAGAAACCAGTGACCCTGTGATTGCCAAGCCGTAGCAAGCGGACACACTGACCGGTGACCTTGCCCAACTTCTGATTGGATGGACCCAAACTCATATCTAATTGAGGTCGGGCCGACCCTGCGCACACCCGCGAATTCTTCCGAATTTGAAACAGCGGCAGTAATTCCCACTCGAGTGAGAACAACGCGCTGGTGACGGTGTAGGCAGCGCGGCTGCTGGCGTGGGCCGGGGTGCTTTTGGCGACTCATTGTCACCTCCAAGTTTAATAAAGCTCCCGTGGAAACTTGGAACCGCCAGCAGCGGGGGGCTCGTCTGGCGCGGGCCGTGGCAGCGCGAGGCACTTCGCGGAGCAGAGCATGAGGTGGGCTCGACACGGAACGCCGCCGGAACGGCCTCTGGGCGGGGCGGCGGCGGGGTGCGGTGGAAGAGGTGAAGCGTAAAAGGGGTCAAAGACGCCAAAGGCGGAGGCGTAATGGGTATTATTCCCCAATGATCCTGTCCGTGGTTGTGTGGGTGGGGGGTTGGGGGGGGGCAGGAGAAGGGCACAAAGAAGGATGGGGGTTGGCAAGGCGGGCGGCCTCCAGGTATACATAAGAGCTAGCCACTCACCTCGGCCACCCTCCCCTCCTTTCCCCCTGCACCGACCTTTAGAGAATTTGTTAATGAAAGCAGAAAAGAGGGGCGGCCGGGGGTCTGTGGGCGGAGAAGGGGGCGGCGGCCGCGGGGGGTCGCACAATCCTTTTGCGGCCAACCACCCCGTCCGTCGTCCCTCCTGTAGAGGAACGCGTTCAACGCGAAGGGTGCGCGCCACGGGTAGCAACCTCACTGCTTCTCGATGCGTGTCCTCTGTCCTTAGAGAGATCACCCGAGCCCGAGCCCGCCTCAGGTTTGGCCTTCTCCGGGTTTAGGGCCCTCCCTCCCAACACGCAGACGACACTACTCGGGTGACGGGGTGATGATCATGGCAACGCGCGAACTTTAATATCCAGGAGATATTTTACGATGTCGTCCACCCTCCGCGTCAGTGCCAGCTCCAGTAGTAACAGGTCCTTCCCGCGCTCCTCGCCACAAGGTCCTCCCCCTGACTAATAGGTACTCGGCTGCCTCGGCTCCGGGGTGGCCCCGTCTGCGACAATGTCGTGTAACCTAACTCGCTGCCCTGCCGAGCCCTCCGCCGTCAGACGGCAGGAGACCGGGAAAAGGCTCACTTATAAGAGCTTTGCTTTCATAAAGGTGGTTTGCTTCTCATTTTCGAACCAAACGAGGCGGTATTTTCTGCACGGGCGACTTTTCCCTCCTCGCTCTTGTGTACTTGTTACAGCGCGCGTCGGCCGAGGGGAGGATGAGAAAGTAGAGGGGGAGGGGCGTGGGGGGTGATAAAAGGAGGGAGGAAAGAGAGAGGGCAGGAGGGGAGGTTACGATACGCAGCACACGGCCCCAAATTGCTGCGCGTTTGTTTCACATCAGTGTGTTATACTTGCAACTTGAGGCGTTACAGCCCTCGCGAGAGCAATACTCCCTCCACCTTCCACCTTCTAGCCTGCCCCTCTCTCTCTCTCTCTCTCTCTCTCTCTCTCTCTCTCTCTCTCTCTCTCTCTCCGTCCAGCGCGATCCGAATCTCTTTTCTGCCGCTGCCCCTGTGCCTCGCACTCGCACAACCTTGAAAAGGTGAGAGTCCGGATCCTGAGAGGTAAGAGGAGAGCGGAAAACGCCGTGAGAGAGAGGGAGAGAGAGAAAGGGAGAGAGAGAGAGAGA